TCTCGACGTTGCCGCCCGCTGCCGGCCGCTGCCGCACGTGAGGGCTTCCCGAGGGTGCAGACCTGCTCTTCGAAAAGCGGCTGTAGAGACGCTCTCGCATCACACAGCCCAGATATCCACGGTGCCATAGATTGTTATCTGTGGCCCACGCTGCCAACAGGTGTTGGATGGTGGATGCCACATATGCAGGTTTGGCCCTGTAGGTTTTAGAGCAGCAAGCATGTGGTGAAACATCGTGACCAGATGTGGAAATGATGGTAGGTTGGCAAACAGGTACACAAGAGCTGGCCCAACATGTGGCCTGGCAGTCGGGAGTCGGTAACGAAACTGATGAAGAAAAGAAATTTGGACTTGCATCAACTGTTGTACAGCCGGACCGAGGTATAAGATCGAGGCCGGCATGGGGAGGGTACCCTAATGCTCGTCGTGCCTGTTGGATGTGATTGTGCATCTTGAGGCTAGGAGACCCTTGGATGTTCTGTGTGTTTTAGCCGAGTGGGGGGTCTTAGTTTCTTGGGGGATGTTCTTCTGGCCTGGGTCCGACAGTATCCAACCGTGGCAATGCAAACCAGCATGTTGAATCTGGCCGGAGGGAACGAAGAATAAAGAGTTGTTTCGACCCACGGTTGCAGCTCTACTTCACCGAGCGCGTTCCGCTACTAGCAAAGCGCCTACTCGCAAACCTCCGACAAATATATGTCTTCCTCTACCGTAGCACCCCGCAGTCGCGGATAAGAGTGAGGGGGCGGCGGGGACGTCTGCAGTCTGTGAGGCTCTGAACAAGCCCGCCACAGGCACCGAATTACCTAACAGCGAAGACTGATAAGTTTCTAGTGGGGTCAAAAGAGAGCATCCTGATTCCCCAGGGGGGTCTGGGCAGGATCCGGGGGATGCCGGGGAAAACCGGGGACTCCTTCTTTTGCCAACAGTAACGCACTTCGTGGTCTTCGAGTTCCCAGAACTCCATTCCTGGGCATGATTTTGAATGCCCGGAGCCAACTGTAGGCCACTTCGTGGTCTTCGAGTTCCCAGAACTCCATTCCTGGGCAAAATTTTGAATGCCCGGAGCCAATTGTAGGCCACTTCGCGTTCTTCGAGTTCCCAGAACTCCATGCCCGGGCCACATTTTGAATGCTGAGGCAGGCTGATGCTGAGGCTGAGGCAGGCTGAGGCTGAGGCTGAGGCTGAGGCTGAGGCTGAGGCTGAGGGCTGAGGCTGAGGCTGAGGCTGAGGCTGAGGCTGAGGCTGAGGCTGAGGCAGGCTGAGGCTGAGGCTGAAGGCTGAGGCTGAGGCTGAAGCAGAGGAGGCTGAGGCTGAGGCTGAGGCTGAGGCTGAGGCTGAGGCAGGCTGAGGCTGCTGAGGCTGAGGCTGAGGCTGAGGCTGAGGCTGAGCTGAGGCTGAGGCTGAGGCAGGCTGATGCTGAGGCTGAGGCTGAGGCTGAGGCTGATGGCTGAGGCTGAGGCAGCCTGAGGCTGAGGCCGAGGCTGAAGGCAGAGGCTGAGGCTGAGGCTGAGGCTGAGGCTGAGGCAGGCTGAGGCTGAGGCTGAGGCAGGCTGAGGAGGCTGAGGCTGAGGCTGAGGCTGAGGCTGAGGCTGAGGCTGAGGCAGGCTGAGGCTGAGGCCGAGGCTGAAGGCAGACTGAGGCTGAGGCTGAAGCAGGCTGAGGCTGAGGCTGAGGCAGGCTGAGGCTGAGGCTGAGGCAGGCTGATGCTGAGGCAGGCTGAGGCTGAGGCTGAGGCTGATGCAGGCTGAGGCTGAGGCAGGCTGAGGCTGAGGCCGAGGCTGAAGGCAGACTGAGGCTGAGGCTGAAGCAGGCTGAGGCTGAGGCTGAGGCAGGCTGAGGCTGAGGCTGAGGCTGAGGCTGAGGCTGAGGCTGAGCTGAGGCTGAGGCTCAGGCTGAGGCAGGCTGAGGCCGAGGCTGAGGCCTGAGCTGAGGCTGAAGGCTGAGGCTGAGGCAGGCTGAGGCTGAGGCTGAGGCTGAGCAGGCTGAGCTGAGGCAGGCTGAGGCTGAGGCTGAGGCTGATGCAGGCTGAGGCTGAGGCTGAGGCTGAGGCCGAGGCTGAAGGCAGACTGAGGCTGAGGCTGAAGCAGGCTGAGGCTGAGGCTGAGGCAGGCAGGCTGAGGCTGAGGCTGAGGCAGGCTGATGCTGAGGCAGGCTGAGGCTGAGGCTGAGGCTGATGCAGGCTGAGGCTGAGGCAGGCTGAGGCTGAGGCCGAGGCTGAAGGCAGACTGAGGCTGAGGCTGAAGCAGGCTGAGGCTGAGGCTGAGGCAGGCTGAGGCTGAGGCTGAGGCTGAGGCTGAGGCTGAGGCTGAGGCTGAGGCTGAGGCTGTGACTGCACTGCGACTGCTGCACCGCGAATGCGACTACGACTGCGAGAACCGCAGACTTCTACAACTGGATTCTCATCTGAATCTTAGGGGGAATGCTTCCAGATATGCTCCTACACATCGCTGTTAGGTTGCTTTGTCGGGATAATTCTTATCAGTTCTATTTCGAACCCGCCGCAAGCGCCGATTTTTCGTTCAAGCACTGTGGGTGGGTCGCGGGGTGGGTCGCGGGTGGGTCGCGGGTGGGTCGCCCGTGGGTGGGTCGCGGGTGGGTCGCGGGCCGGGTCGCGGGCCGGGTCGCGGGTGCCGCTCACTGACCTCAGGGCGGGGCGCAGGGGGGGGCTCAGCAGCGGGCCTGATCAACGAGGTGTCGTCCGCCATTCGGGAACGATCGGTCGCGTCGAAGGGCAGCCGAGGGCGGCGCGAGGCGAGGGGCGCCGCCGGGGGGCGCGCGGGGGGGCCAGGGCGCGGCCCAGGCGGTGCGTCGGGCGCCTCTCGAGACGGGGGGGGTCCCCCACACGGCTTGAGGAACAAACGAACAACAACAGGAATCCGCATCTCGGAATCCCACTTCAGCCACGCACCCAGGGACAGTGAATGACCGCTCGGCCCCCTCAATCTGATGCGATGGATTGTGAATCCCACGCGGCGGATCCAGGCCATTTGCGAGTTGGCATTTCGCGCGTAGTGGAACGCGCTTGTCTACTCCTGTGCGCGCCAATGCCCGGTTTAGCAGAGTCCCTGTTTACTGGGGCGATGGTGCGTTCCAAGATTCCCAGGACCTCCTAGATGTTTCTGATCTCCTATTTTCTTCCGTAGGGGCTCCAGGAGCGAGGGCACCTAGGATATTGCAGAGCTCCTGGAGCGCATCCTGAGCCAGTCGCATGACGGCATCATTCTCGGCACACATCTTCGCTCATTTGTGTTCCCTCATCCTCCTCCCTGCTCGGGTTACCGGGCACTTCTGCGCCTTCCCCCACCCGCCCCCGGGGCAAAGCTCGGCGTGCCCCAGGCCACTCGTGGTCAACGACCGACCAGCCGACCTCATCATCGTTCCCTCCCCATTCTCTTCGTTGTTATTAGGCAAGCTGTTGGGTCTCAGGGACCCGAAGCGCCAGCAGCCACAGGAGCAAGAAAGGCGTGCCTTGCACAGGACAGCAGGAGCTCTCGGCGGCATCACGACAGTCGGCACCAACAGCTCGTTCAAGAGACGAGAGACCACTCAATCAATGCCCCTCCTCAAGTCTACTGCCCTCCTCTTACAATAACCCGCAGATTCCGGAGAACGATTGAGAGACCTTCTCATGCCCTCACCCCCGTCCTCCTCGTGTGCCCTCGTTTTCCTCTCAAGAGCGCCTTCGAGGGCTCGAAGTCAGTCGCGCTTCGCGTTTCGGCTCCAATTGCTCCCCCTCCCCGTCCTCCTCCTCCTCCTCCTGCTCCCCCTTCTCCTCCTCCTCCTCCTCCTCCCCCTCCTCCCCTCCTCCCCCTCCTCCTCCTCCTCCTCCTCCTCCTCCTCCCTCCTCCCCCTCCTCCTCCTCCTCCTCCTCCTCCTCCTCCTCCTCCTCCTCCTCCTCCTCCTCCTCCTCCTCCTCCTCCTCCTCCCCTAGGGGGGGGGGGGGGGGGGGCGGCGCGAGAGCGCGAAGCGCTTCGCGCTTCGCACAGCGCGAAGCGTGAAGTCAGGCGCCCCTGCCTTGTTCCTCCTCGGCGTGCGGCCGCCGGGGGGCGCGACGATAGGACCGCTCAGGGCGGCCAGGGAACAGGGCGCACCTGTGCCGCGGCGTGCCAGCGCGCCGTTGTTTGTGTCCCCTCGGATCGGCCTGCGCGTCTCGGACCGCTCCGTCGACGCGGGCCCGCTCACATGAGGCGCTCCATGAAGGGCCTCGCCTTCGAGGATCGAAGGAGTTGCCATCTCTTCCGCGGCGGAAGGGCGGCGGAGGGTCGGCGGAAGCAAAACGGCGGCGGCTCCGCTGGCGGAAATTTGGCGGAAGCCGGCGGAAACAAAAGTCTACCTCCCAGGAGATGACAACGTTCTTGGGTTCAGGGTTCCCGGAATCGGCCATGTCAGGGTGAGCGACGAGACGGTTTTCCGGATTATTGGCCTCTTATGTGCCTTGTTTCCTTGGTTTGGGTGTAGGTTGTTGTCGTCGTCACGTCTTCAGTTCCTTCGTTGTTCGTCCTTTGTTATCTCCCCTGCGCCGCGGTCCAGTCCATCGTAGGGTTCCCTTCCAGTTGCCATCCAGTCGTCTATTAGAGTGTGCGCACTAGGGTCAGTGAGACGGGTTGCGTGGCCTAGAGGTTTGTGCAGAAGCACCAGGCTCCCTTTCTCGCAGATCGTTACGTAGGCCCTAGTTCCGGGGATGCTTGAGCCAGCAATCATTTCCAGCGCCCCCGGACACGAACCTCCGATTCGATTCTCGGTCGACGCACGTTGCGTCATCCACCAATGTGTGATCAAATCGCTCTGCTTGCTTACAACAATTGGTGTGTCGTAGCCGCCCGTCCTCCCGATTCTCGCGCTGTGCTCTGAAGTGGCGAGGCGAGGGACCTTAGTGGAACGGAGAGGCAGGAACGGGAGCGCCATCTTGTTGGCACAACGCGTTACCAATGAACTAACGTTGGCGCTGTGTTCGGTCACGCGTGTGCCCTCCACGTCCTCTCCTCTGGGTGGTGTGGCCCGCAATCGGCAACTGCACAGCGACAGCGACAGACGAAACAGGTACGATGCCGCAAGGTGCCACACCCGTCACGATGCCGCGGCCACGTCGGCTCGATCAAGCTCGGCGTCGTCGCTGCAGCGGCGAAGCGCTTCACCACGACTGAACTACATATTTCGCTCTATCGTGGGGGGCCGTCCACGTCGGCCGAGCAAAATGAGGCTTCTATGCCTCCTCGCGTCCGCGGGCACGGCATGCCTCGCCCCCGCAGCGGCACTGGCCCAGGTCGGGAGGAGGCCGACCCGCAAGGCGGCGGCAGCGGCCGGCGAGGGCGTGTCTGAGGCGGACACCCAGGTCGTGGATGCCATGAAGAGCTGGATCCAGGAGGCCAAGCAGGCGTCCCAGGACCTGGAGAAAGAGATCAAATACGAGGAGAGCGACTTTGGGCAGGCCGTGCCGAAGGGCGAGGAGGAGAGGAGGCTGGAGAGGCTTGGAGACCTCCTGGACGAGGTCGACCCCAAGAACGCGTCCGAGATGGCCGACCTGGCGGCGGCACTGGCTCAGGCCAGGAGGAGGCCGAGTCGCAAGGCCGCTCGCAAATCCAGCAAGGACGTGTCTGAGGCGGACTCCAAGGTCGCAGAGTCCGTGAAGAGTTGGGTCCAGGACGCGAAGCAGGCGTCTCAGGACTTTGAAAACGAGGCTAGGTACGAGGAGAGCGACTTTGGGCAGGCCGTGCCGAAGGGCGAGGAAGAGAAAAAGTTGGAGAGGTTGGGAGACCTCCTGGATGGGGTTGACCCCAAGAACGCGTCCGAGATGGCCGACCTGGCGGCGGCATTGGTTGACCCCAAGAACGCGTCCGAAGTGGCCAGCCTCGTTGCAAAATTGGCCCAGGCCAGGAGGAGGCCCAGCCGCAAGACAGCCCGAGTTCCCAGCGAGGGCGCTCGCGATGCGGACTCCAAGGTCGTGGAAGCCATGAAGAACTGGACGCAGGAGGCCAATCAGGCGTCCCAGGACAGCTGCGATCCAGAGGGTCGGTGAACGACGTCCAATCCAGAGTCTGAATCCAGACTCCGGACTCGGAGTCCGAAGCCAGAAATTTGGAATCCGGATTCGAGAATCTGGGCTCTGACCTCGGATTCGTTTCCAATGTCGCTCTCAGATTCAGCCTCTTCCACTGGCGTTGACTTTCCTCCTCGCCTGGATTCCATGTTGTGGATTGTAGAATCTGACTCCCGATTCGACCCCTTTCCGCCAGCATCGATGTTATGTTTGGACTCCTGGATTCTGAGGTCGGTCTCCCAGATCCCACCTCCGCTGTCGATTCCAGTCTCCAGATCCAAGGTTCGGAATCCAGAGTCGGCCTCCTCCGCCAGTCTCGACTAGCCTCATCTCGCTCCTCATTGGCCTCCTGATCCCGCAGGCTCACGATTCGGACTCCAGATATCCTAGTCCTTCTCCTCCTCCGCCTCCGCCTCCTCCTCCTCCTCCTCTTCTTGCTCCTCCTCCTCCGCCTCCTCATCATCATCATCATCATGATCCTGCTGCAACTCTTAAAAGCTTATCCAGAATCGGAATCCCGCATTCCCGATTCGATATGTTATGATATGTTTATCCCCTCTGCTCGTCTTTCTTGCCCTCATCCTGGGCCATCCTCATGCTGTTGCTGCTGGCCCGTAGAATCAAGATCCCGTGCTCGAACTCTGGACTGCACCCGCTCCGCCAGCCTTGGCTCCAGACTCCGGATTCTGAGCGCACTCGGACTCCAGAGTCGATCTCCTCCATCAGACTCGACGCCAGATTTCCGATCCTGCGATACGAGAGGGCTGCCCCACTCCTTCCTCTTCCTTCTCTGCATCCTGATTTCAGATTCAGGGTTCTACTTGCTCTTTCAGCGTTTCTGGATTCGAGACTCGTTGACGTTATCCGCCGGCTTCGAGTCCAAGGTCCCGAATCCAGACTCCAGGCTCGGAGGGTCTGGAGGTCGAGGTGTCGAGGTGGGCCTGTCTCATTTCGCATTCCAGACCGTGGTTTTGAGGCTTGTGTTTCTGGACCGGACCTGTTCGGCCAGACCCCCTAGATCACCTCATCTTGCAGGACCTGGAGAAGGAGATCAAATACGAGGAGAGCGACTTTGGGCAGGCCGTGCCGAAGGGCGAGGAGGAGAGGAGGCTGGAGAGGCTTGGAGACCTCCTGGACGAGGTTGACCCCAAGAACGCGTCCGAGATGGCTGACCTGGCGGCGGCACTGGCTCAGGCCAGGAGGAGGCCGAGTCGCAAGGCCGTTCGCAAATCCAGCGAGGACGTGTCTGAGGCGGACTCCAAGGTCGCAGAGTCCGTGAAGAGCTGGGTCCAGGAGGCCAAGCAGGCGTCTCGGGACTTTGAAAACGAGGCTAGGTACGAGGAGAGCGACTTTGGGCAGGCCGTGCCGAAAGGCGAGGAAGAGAAGGGCCTGGAGAGGTTGAGAGACATCCTGGACGGGGTTGACCCCAAGAACGCGTCCGAGATGGCCGACCTGGCGGCGGCATTGGATGATCCCAAGAGCGCGTCCGAATTGGCCGACCTCGTCTCAAAATTGGCCCAGGCCAGGAGGCCCAGCCGCAAGACAGCCCGAGTTCCCAGCGAGGACGCACGCGATGCGGATTCCAAGGTCGTGGAGGCCATGAAGAACTGGACGCAGGAGGCCAAGCAGGCGTCCCAGGACAGCTGCGATCCAGAGGGCCGGGGAGCCAACTCTGAATGCGGAGTTCGAATCCAGAAATCTGGATTCCAGGAAGTGCGTGAGAGGTGCGCCGAATCGGAGCTCCCTTGAACCGTCTGAGGGGTCCGCTGAGAGCCCTTGGGATCGACTTCGCGTAAGAGTGATCTTTCGCCCTGAGTGACCTCTGGTGCGGGCTCGTCGGGATCCCCCCGATCGCTGAGCGCGATGTGATAGCGGCCGATTGCGCGCTGAGAGTTGGCCACCTTGTGCCCCCTTAGTCCGCGCACCAAAGGTCACTCTTGCCTAGGGCCTAGGGACGCTCTTGCGTGTAGCCGACGGGAGCCCATGAGGCACGAGGTGCGCGAGGGGTGCGCCGAATTGAGGCTTCAGGTACCCTTTCGCCGTCTTGAGGGCAAGCGGAGCACCCATGATGCACGAAGTGCGTGAGGGGTATACCGGATTGAGAGGAGGAGGAGCAGGAGGAGCAGTAGGAGCAGGAGGAGGAGAACGACGACGACGACGACGACGACCCCCTAGGAGAGATGAGCTGCGAGTCCCTTGTGTTTTACGTGCCTCGGAGGCCTGGGGGGTGCAAGAACTGTGCAAGGGTCTGCCGAACTGAAGCCCTCGTGGTCCTGGCCTGCGCGGGTCCTTGGTATTGTTAAGTGCCCAGGGGGAACCCAAGGGAATCCGGCGTCATCGAAACATCGTCGAGGCATTTTCCAAGCATCCGAGACCGGCGGACTGCGCGAGACCGCTCCCCACATGTATGTACGAATGCATCTCACTCTCGTCCCTCCTCCCCCCTTTCATCGATGACGCTCGCTGCCGCCGCTATTCCTCCTCCTTCTCCTCCTCCTTCTCCTCCTCCTCCTCCTCCTCCTCTTCCTCCTCCGTAGCCATTTTGGCTCAAGATGTTCACGCCCCGCGGTGTCCAAATGGATACCGTTGAGCCGCGGCCAGCTTCGGTCTTCTCTTTGTTCTTGCCACAATCACGGGCTTGCAGGCGCCCACTTCCATACACATCCCTCGCACTGGTGTGCGCTGTGGCCTCCATATTCTGCGCTGGACAGCGTTTCCTTGCACCGTCGCCTTCATCAAGCTGCTGGTCGACGAGCACCCCAAGCGCGCCAAGCCCGTCTCCTCCATGGCGGACGTTCCCATGCCCACCGCCGCCACCGACACGTGCGCCGAGGACAAGAGAGGCAAAGGCGGGAAAGACCCCTGGTACGATGGAGCCCTCAGGCTGGCCGCCACTGAGCTTCCTGCACACCTACGTCACCAGCTGGAAGAAGCACTTTCAGCACAAGTGCAACATGCTGCCAAAGAGTTTGAAGCCACCGCCAAGTCTGTCGTCAACGCTGCCAGAGAACAGCTTCTCAAGAACATCAACGCCATCGCCACCGATTTCAACACGAAGCACGAAAGAGCTGAACGTGACCTCGCAGAGACAAAGCGACGGATTTGTGTTACAGCAGTGGTCACCAAAGAGGTCCGCGACTCCGTTGACAAGCTCCAGAAGATCGTTGCCGATGCCGAGTCCCGCAACCCCAGCATCGACATGGCCAATCTCGTCACATGGGATCGGCCAGCAGATCCATGCACATTCTGGTTTGGAGCAGCTACTCCTTTCGACATCGAGGACCTCAAGAAGTCGCTGGGATCCTGGCTCGCCGACGCCAAAGTCACGCTCGACCAGGTCTCATTCAACACCATTGGCGTCATCAGGCGCCACAGCTTCACCCTCACAGGAGGCACGGTCGTTGCTGAGCCCCGTGCACGTCGTCTTCATGAAGCACTACACGTTGGCAGAAGCTGGCGAGAATCCAGCACATCCATCAACATCTCACCCTCCATTCCTCTGTACGTCTCCGCCGACAAAAGTCCTCGCGCGGTTCGACGGGAAGTGCAACTCAAACGGCTCGGGGCCCTCATCAATCAGCGCTTCGACCAATATCCCTTCCGTCTTCAACGCAGCCAAGGGTACATCACATACGAGAACGAGGTCATCGCCCAGATCATCGTGGGAGCCACGCCCGGCGAACCCACCAAGTTACGATGGACAGCAGCCGCGATCCGATTGGGCATCAATGGCGAGCAGCAGACCAACATCCACGTCGCCTTCGAGAACTCCTTCTCTGACGCACTGGCAACAGCGCAGTGGCTTTAGCCCGCGCTGGACGCCGCGGCTCACCAAGCACAACGACCACTGCATGAACGTCGCATTCTGGAGTACGCAAGCAGTACATGGAAGATCTGACCGTCGTCGTCAAGTTAAACGTCGCTTCCTTAAGCCGCTCCTACGCCAGCGAGCACTGATTGCCCTCCAAGAAACGCACGGCTCCGCCATCGACATGGAGATCTTTGCGCATCCCGAACTCCACCACAGCCGGCGGCGTTGGCTTCCTCGCCCCCTTCGGCCAGGTAGAGCTAAGTGCCCGCCCGAAGAGCGCCATCGGCGCTTGTTCGCCACATTGCCGTCCCACGACGCCCCCGCCATGGAAGTTGCGCTGTCCGCTGACGACGCCCCCCTGGAGACTGAAGATGGCATGGCAGGCGACCACAATATCATGCAGCTAAGCACCCGCCCGATCCGCAGCCGACCCCCCGGCGAGCGCACGGTCCCTGCCTTCATCTTCGACTCGCCCCACTGCGCGCACCACTACAAGGTCACTTCTGAGAATTAGGATTTCCCCCAGTACTCTGCAGCCTACCAGTGGCGGTTTCATAAGTCGCTGATGCATGAAGCCGCCCGCCGCACCCGCAACGCCCTCACCGCCATCCCAACCGCCGAGCTCAACGCCAAGACGGCTGACGCCCGCAAAGATACACGTAGTATGACCCTTCGGAGCATAGCAAGATCAATCTGGCATCAAGACTACGCCCCAGCGTTAAAGCTCATCTAGAAAACTGACATCGGCCGCAAGCACCTGAAGATCGACCGCGACAAGTTCTCCCTGAACGACCGCGCTGCCTTCGCACAGGAGACCAACGAGATTCACGCCAGCCTCAGTGAAGAACGCCGCGCACGTGCAGCGCAGCAGTCTCGCGCTGCATATGAGCTCCGCAATATTGCCCTTGGCGACCCATGGCGACAACGCGCACGACATGAGGTCCGCAAAGGAGAACTCTGGAAACCTTTCACGCGTCGCTTGACGTTGGTTGGGATCAAGATCGATACTGGCAACGCCACCTCGACGGTGGACGAGCCCAGCAAGATGCACTCCGCCTCACTCAACCACTGGGGCCCTGTTTTCGCGGCAAAGACGGTCTCTAACTCTGCCGTCTCCGAGTGCCTCGACAACGTCTTCCCGCGGCGCCCGCTACTCGATCCACCTCTCCCTGGTGAAGAAGAACTCCTTCGAGCTGCGCGCCGTGCTGGCGACTCCGCACCTGGGCCCGACGGACTGCCTTATCGCGCCTGGATTCGTACCCCTGGAGCCATCTCAATACTCGCCAATCTTTCAGACCACATGGTCCACCACGGCGCCCCTCTCGATCTCAACTACGCGGAAATGGCCATGCTTCCCAAAGGTGACGAGCCGATGGGCAATGTCGAGTGCACGAGAACCCTTGCCACACTGCGCCCGCTCAGCATGGGGAACAGCGCCGTCAAGATCCTCGCCTCCGCGATTAACTTTACTTCAGCCGAACTCGCTACCAACGCAGCCATCGAGCCGAAGGGGTTCGTCGCTGACCGCCAGTTCCTGCGCAATGTTGTCCATGTCGACGCCGGGGCTCGCAAGCTCAGCATGTCCGATGACGCGAACAACCGCGTGCCGATCTTCGCCTCCATGGGCATTGCCGCAGCATTCCCTTCGCTCGACCGTCACGGGATGTGGGCCGTCCCCATGTGGCGACTGCTCCAAACGTTCTACCCCGACCCGCTCTCCTTCCTGATACTTGGCGGCGTAACACGCCCGCTGCTATATGCAGACTCTGGCGTTGCTCAAGGCTGCCCGCTCATTGGCACCATCTGGGCCCTCATCTTCGACCCTGTGATTCGAGCCATTGCCAACGAGCTGAACGCTATCAAGCGCGGGCTGGTTAGTGCATGCGCCGACGAGCCGGGCATTGTTCTCCACAGGCTGAAAGACATGCATCTTCTACTTCCTCATCTACTCGCCGCAGACCAACTTGCAGGTCTCCAGCTGCACGCCAAGGTGCATCATCGCACCGACCTGGACGCTCCCGACCTCGGAATTGATCAGCGGCACGCAGACCATCCTCGGCAACATCCACCGCCCGTGGCGCAACTTCTCGGTTGCTGAGAAAGCGCGCTACCTTGGATGTTACGTCGGTCCTGGAGCTACGCTGGCTGACCAATGGCGTGCCCCCGCAGCCAAATGGTGGGACCGCATCCTCAAGCTTTCAGACTCACGCGCGCCGCTCCAGCTGAGCATCACGCTGTGCAACATCGCTGCCGTCACATGCCTATCACACGTTGGGCAGCTGCACGACCCCCCTGACCACCCCATCGCGAAGGAGCACCTGGACATTCACAAGCTTCTCCGCGTTGCGCCCAACAGCTTCTCCAAGTCTGACATTTTCGGCACGTCCTCCTGAACGCGCATCGAGATTCCGAATAATACCGAGCTGTTCCTCTCAGCGACGCTCTGGAGAATTGAAGTCAAAACCGTCAAAGGATGGAACACCTGGTACAACGCCCTGCGCGACGCTGCCTACGACCGCCTTAGCACCGCCACCGCAGAGAGCGCGCGCTGGTGCGCGGACTGCTGGGCCATCACGACATCCATTGTGCAGCGCTTCGCGGACATCTCCAACTCCGCGTTCTTCGTCAAGTCCGCGGGCTCGCACTGCGAGCGCCTGGCCCGCACCCTCGGCACCATGCCGCGCGTCATCGGAGCCCTCAAGGCTGCCCGTCGTCACGCAGCACGCTGTGGCTCCGATGCTTTGCTCGCCCAGGGTCAGATCGAAGCTGCCCCAAGGCGCTCTCCGCAAAAGGCATACCTGCTGGCACTTCAAGAGCGACTCCACCC